CGATGTACAAGTCAGTGCTTTTATCTTCCCAGACGAGTCTGGTACCAATTCACCGACCCCGGAGGGATGGAAGGCTTGGTTGGTCTAGGCGGGCATAGTCGACCTTGGTATAGTAAGTATTAAGCTGAGTCATAGTCCTAGGACGAATTTACAATCGTTATATTTACCTTACTATTTCTGAACGACAATTGCGAATCATTTGGAATATGCCCTATTGGCATCGCTGGCTTCTGCCAACGCTTATTCAGATCGTAAACGCCCTTGCTCCAGAACGCTGGGGGCTGGCCCCCCAAGAACTGTTTGAGTGCCGTTTTGATGACGTCGCGGGTTTGAAAGTCTTGACCATCCAGAAGACGTCGGAGAAGGGACAAAAGGTGGTTTCGCGAAAGAGTCAATCTGTGGAATATGTGGGTGTGGTAAAAATGTCCAGTCGAAATTCATTAGTCCAGTTTTAGTCGTTCTTGTAATTTGCGGCCGAACTGGAAGCTGGAAGTAAACCTTGCGCTGCTGTGAACGTATAGTTTCGAGATTCGCCTTTAAATTTCTCAATTGCTTAATGTAGACGTCTGCGGTCACTATACATCATTCGTCTAGCAGCTTCCAGTATTCGACACCGTGAACGATCACCAGATGCAAAACATACCCTTCTTGGCGTGTTCATTGGGCTTAGGAAAGTCTTTTGCATCCGCACCCTCGTCAACCCATTGAACGAGCCGGTGAAGGTCAGAGTAGAGAATCCACTTCTTATCCCTGGTGACTGGGTGCTCGAGCCACGTTTGAGTGCGCTTGAGCGTGAGGAGAGAAAGTGCCATGTCGGCACGGCGGTCCATGTTATACTGCTTCGAGCATGGGCACCCAACAACCGAGCTTCCGTAACTTGCCGATTGACTTCAATCCACGAACAACCGTAGACTGACTCACATCAAGAGTGACTGCCAGATCACAAGTAGTTGATGCGGAACAACTTCCACCTGGCTCCGCAGCACGTCCAGATCTAACTCCATGTGGCGTCCCAAACGGTCCTCATTTTCGATGGAGTTGTCACCCGATGCGAACTTCGAGTGCCACTAGTAAAATTCGCTTCTGACAGGGGCGCCCTTGTTGTAAGCTTTCTTCATATTTCTATCGATTGCCGCGGGTTTTTGGTCAGATAAAAAAAGGGGTAGGATGGAGTTGCGGAGGTGGAATGGAGTTGCGACGGCTTGAAGTCATGGGGCATGATTGCAGGCAGGGAAACAGTTAGGTGTGCTCGTAAGTATGTTCTTGGAACAGCTTTTGAACTCTATCTAACGATGCTTCGCGCGTCCGTTTTCGTCACCTCTTTCCCGAGTTATGATCGCTAGAAGTCATCACTATCACATTGCCTAATTAGTTATGATTCAACCTAATACATATCATATCGGTACAGGAGAAGACTAGACTTGAAATATTCTTTTCAGGTACTCGGCAACCTTATATGAGTGTTTCCAATATGCATTTTACACAATGCCGTTTTGTGCTCGTGTAGAAAAGCGAATCCTTTGCATGCATGGCGGTATAAGCGAAGAGCTAATGGACTTCAAGCAGGTGGGCCAATCCATAGTCTGAGATGATCTCAGAAAGCGTTTCCAAAGGAACAGGTGGAACCTGTGCAGTATGATCNAAACACCGGTTTTTCAGTTGGACAAAATCGAGCGGCCATGTGACATACCTGATATTGGTGTGATTGCTGACCTAACATGGGCCGACCCTGATCCGAACATCTCCGGGTACGAGGAGTCACCTCGAGGTGCTGCCCGCATATTCGGAGCAGATGCGTTGAAGAATTTCTGTAAGCTCCATGGACTGGATCTCATTGTGAGAGCTCATCAGGTAAGACCATTAGGATATTGTCCAATAGGTAAGTCGTACCGGTATTCAAAGGAAGGAAGCGTCGCAACCATTTGTACCATTCTCTGACGTAGTTCTCCCTTTACAACGATGTTCACTCCCTTACTGTAGGCGGATTAGTAGCCTATCGGGTAATAGGTAATATCCTAGACAGCAGCGTCAAAATCGGTTGACGTTTCAAAAAACCCAATGTATAGCCTTAACTCAAGCTGAGGTCGACTTCAAATGAATCCAAGAACTGGCCCTGAACTCGAGTGCTAGCTCTTAGAAAAGACCTTCTCGATAGTCACCTTTCTTGCAGGTAGTTCAAGATGGTTACGAGTTTTTCGCCGACCGACACTTGGTCACAATATTTTCGGCTCCAAATTATTGCGGGCAGTTCGATAACACAGCCGCTGTGATGCTCGTCAACAAGGAGCTTGTGAGAGAGCAATGATGGCTAAAAATGTCGTTGTCCATGCTGTTCCTTAACATTACTGTTTCAGAATTGTACGTTCACGTTACACAAGCCCATTTTGAAGAAAGCACCGGCGTAATTAGAACATTTCTCCAACGGTTAAACTATTAAGAGTGATAATAAACGTTATGAGATGAAGCTTTTTGTCTCTGATTCTTTATCCTGACTACTTTTCGCTGTGCCTTGTTGTATGTATGTTAGCACAGATCTAACCGAAACTTCAAAAACTGGGAACTAGGTACGAAAAACTCGAGCTCGAGTGGAATCCCTTCACCACCAACGGCGACAGATCTGACAAATCGTAAAAGACGAATCACTGAGAACTAGTGAAATGCGCCACGTAGCTTCGGGGTGTGATTGTGAAATTCGTCGTCAGGAACAGATAGTTTCATGTGCATGTCAAATCTTTGGCAGCGATGTGTATGACGGGTGATCCAGTTTTCCTTTGGAAACCTCATTTCTCCAGATGTCCTAGTCGCAAGATCATATAGGCTAAGATTCTGATGAGACTCAAGAGGCGTCTACTGCCTTCATGGGGGTGCTGGTCATTCGTACTAGAGCCTCCTCTTCAAGGCTTAGCTCACGATATTTCTGATTTCATGAACTGATGGAAGTTGCGGTACAGTTGTAGTGTAAAGACGAGAATGAAAGCGCAAAGCTTGACGCCTTCATGAGTAAAAGGTACTTCGAAAACATCGTGAAAAAACGATTGCACGAGATCACCATTTCGGAAATGGCATAAAGTTGTATTTGGACGAATTTCCATTTATTGCGATTGCGAAAGGAGCTGGCTATTTTGAGCCGAAAAAGCCCAAAGTTGTCCTCCGCTGCCACCATGGGTCGCAACTGGTTGCCTGAATTTCCGGCCCATTTTTGAGCTGACAACCCTGACAATGTACCCGGTCATAGATTTATCGTGGAAGGATGTTCTTATCGTGATTTAAGTCCATGACGACTTTTTCATATAGAACTTTCAAGAGATTGGGGTAATGAAATTAGCAAAAGCATTGTCCACTTACAGAATCCAGGGTACTTAGACGTCTTATACCTATAAAACTATCACATATACGCGTGTGCGAAAACAACAGAAAAACCCTGCTCATTGTGAGCAACGCTTTCAGATGTGCTTAAGGTTCCGGTAGTGTCATAAAGTATAAACCGACATGACCTATTCAGGGGACTATTTTAAATGGAAACTAAAGTTAGCACTCATTTGATTCTTCCAAGAGATATCTGTTGAAATGTGGTATAGTGTATGAGTCAGAGAGTCGACGACATCCGATTTGTTTGCCGAAACAGTCAGCGATAGCGTGTGCTCACGCTGATCGATCGCCACCAACGTAGTCGGACTCACCTGCTACACCTTCAATATTGGTCTGGGTGGTTTCTCCAGGTCTCAATCTACCTATTATTCATGCGTGATAATAATCAAGTCGTCTACACTATGCCATCTTCGTAAAGGTTCGGAACTTCTCTGTTTTTTCTTCAGAACTTTCCAATATTTTCACCATCGTGCTTCTCAAACAGCTTTACATGGTTCAATACTGCTCGAATGAGAAAACATCATGCCCATTGGGCGGAAGGGAATGATGAGGGTTTTTAGGACCCAGAGATGGTGCATTAAGGCGCATTATTGATATATTCATTCCCAGAAAGCTTTACTCGATTCTATGACATGGAATACGTAAAGATTAATCATTGCTCCATAACTGAGACCGAGCAGCATTAGAGGAATCCGCTGGAGAAAAAGCCATTCCTGGATGGCCGCAGAGGGAAAATGTTCATCGAACCGTTTCCTCATTCGGCTTCATTCATTTTGCCTTAGAACTAATCAGCTCAGTTTGCCACAAACCTGGTCTCAACAGATCCAGACTCTTGTAACTCCCTGAATGTCACGAAGTGGCAAGCATCGGGGAACGCCAATCGCTGACATAATGATATAGCAAAAGTGAATTAAAGCTCTCAAATTGTTATTTCGAATCATAGACACCTTCCTTCTAGCCTTGCCAAGTTATGCCATTTAAAAGTTGTACAAATTTTGCGTTCAGGAAGAATCTGGGAAAAGCTGATTTTAGGAGAAGCAACGACTTGATCTTCCGATGGATCCCTTTGACGTCGCTACATCAACGACTTCATCAAACGCTTCTATTGACCGAGTTGTTTTTCAAATCGAAAGACTTTCAGGCCAGATCAATGTGCTGAGCTATCAGGTACGTGGATAGGCAAGAATTGATCTATCTCCCCCAGATAAACTCATTTCCAACATGATTCGATATTTGCGGTATCAGATCGACGGAGCGGTGGCAACCGTGAAAGAGCGTGGAGCAGAGACGGTAGCATCAATCAGCAACAACTTCAACACTGACACTATTGAAAATGTGAAGCGAATGCTGGTGAGTGTCTTAAAGACGATGTGTTAAATATTGAGAAGGTAGTTGATTTGTAAAGATTGATCTACAGTGATTGATATACATCAATGCTCCCTAGATTAAGTCCCGCTGAGATCAGCGTAGTCATCTTTTTCTCCTATACTCCATAACTATTGTCACATTCAAGTCGTAGAACAAGAACAATAACAAGTAGAAGGTGTTGCAGCAGCCCCACTATTGGGATATTTAGCCGATACACAGTACATGGCTCAGTATGAGGATGTCTCAGCGAATTTTTTCATGCCCTTTTAAAGGCCAAAACATCACATTTTGGCTTTTATAAGGGCTCGAACTCTCGTCACGTTTCCATTAGGCTTGGGCTTCTTACGTAGCCTTTGTTCTTTCTATAAACTTGAAAGGTTACGGCTGCGTGCTACTTTTTGACTAAAAACAAGTTCTTTGTGTAGATATGTGTACGAAATGGATTTCATGAACATTCGCGACGTCTTAACTTTTCGAAACCTTGTTCATTGAATCGAACCGCTAAAATACTTGTAGATATCATGTGGCTCTCTCTCTCTCTAAAATCGAGCTTCACTGTCGATAAAAGGAAAACATTGCATATTTGAGTACAGTTTCAGTCTCTAGCAAAATTTTCTTCTCACTACAAACGCTATTCGCCAGCCCTTCAAATGTTCTGTCTCATGACTTGGCTTTTGTACTATGGACAAGGAAGGCAAGCAACACGTACAACTGAACATATATAACTTACCCATGAAATATTTAGTATAGCTATTTGTGACTTTGAAGCCCATATTTTTGTGCATCAGAACGACTTTTACAAGTCCGCAGAATTCCCCTGTCCACTGGATTCGTAAGGACCCTGTCTTGTTCAAGGAGCTCAGCGTAGGATGCCTTTTTTGACTTTACGGTGAAATGCTCTGCAAAAACTCACTGCCTAGGGTCACGCCCCACTGAGTGTCAAGCTTCATAATCTCTTCTGTGATAGTATTCTGCTGTACCTGCTGCATCGAAATGGCGCTTCATACTAGACCCGACAACCTATCCCCCCTCCGGTGACATTATGCTGGGAATGAGTACACTGGATATAGGGGTAACGAAGGAAAAAAAAGACTAGTATGTGGAAGTTATGTATTGCGGCTTTACCTCATTTTGATTTGACTTTATTTTTTCGAGTTCGATTCTTCGGCGAACAAAGTAGTAGCGTGTAGGATAAATGCTCACTTGCGCTGTCGTGCAATATATAATTTGGTTTTGAAATGTGCAGGAATTGAAAGAGCTTGTGAGATTTTTGGATACTTTTCAGAATATTATATCGGAGAAGACGCACAATTGGCCACTTACTGCTTTGATCGTTGTTGGAATAACGGCACTGATCTTGATTGTGATCACTGTAAGTGAATATGCCCATACTTAATTTTCTTTCATTCCTTTTGTGGCATTTCACGATAAGACTGATTTATGAGATACAATCCTTGTATGAATCTTGCCCTCCCCCATATATCGTATGTGGCGCCCTCGGATTGAAAAACGACATAGATAGGGCGTCATGCAGAATAGAAAACTGTATCCACTGTATGCCACACCCCAGGACGCACAAGCTTCAACGACGCTGTAGAGACCGCACTATTCACAAGGGACACTCAGGCTGGAAATTCAAACGACTAGTTGTGACCCGTGGCGACGGTAGAAGGCAGTTTTGGACATTTTTTGTTTTGGACATTTTTTGGACAATTTAGTCACCCCTTTAGTGATTGCAACAACTGAAAGCTCGTCTAAGTACCACTCTCACGCAATTTTTGCCGTGGTAATCTCGATTTTTTTTTCTATCAGGGAGCCTAGGTTTTCACGAACTAGGTCGATTTTTTCTCTTTTCTTCCCAAGAATGCATTATTCTCCAACGACTTTTCTTCTTTTCAACTTGATTTGCGGCATCGAAATTATCGTGAGCTTTGCCTTTGAACATTGTCAGATCGGATCGAGCTATGTTGAATCCGCTTACCCGAATAATTATACTAGAGTAAACGTCACGATGATTTAAAAGTGAAAGCTTGCTGCTCCTCTTCCCCAAGTCCCCTTTCCTGCAGTATTTTTGAAAGAAGCCAGTGAAATAGGTCTAAGCATGCGGATTGTGAAGGTAAGGAAAAATGAAATTCATAAAATAATTCCAAGTTGTTGTCTTTCCAATGTAGTGGGAAACACTTATAGATACTAATACCCTTTTTGGCAAAATGACGATAAATTTCATGACGACTTGCAGCTTTACTGTCTAGAAAATCCGTTAAACTTCTGTTCTCTCTAGTTCAGTACCTAATACTGAATAGGCGAATAAAACCAGCACTGCCACTATGCTTACCCTGAAGACTAGCTATGTAAATAAAAAATATGAAAAGAAAGGGAGAGATGATGAGAATCGAGAAAGGATGGGAAGAAAGAAATAAAGATCGAGAGCATAAGAAAAGGAACAAACAAGAAGGCAAACAAAAGGAAAGGAGTAAAACAACAAATGGAAGAAAGAGGGTAAGAAAACAACAAAAAAAAGGATGAAAGTTGGATACATCAGGTACTAGTTTTGTAGTCGTTCTGGTTATCATATACGTAGACCGCAAGCTCGTCGGAGTTGACACTGGAACTGTTCTCCTTCTCCATCCTAACTATGCTTTTATTTCCTTCCCAGTTGTTCGATAGTAAATCATTCAAATCCAATCTGCAGTTGTGGTTGTGTGCCTACTGACGTGCTCATTTCAGCTTCTATTTCTCATGGCAAAAGGAGGAGAGAAAATCGTTGAACGGCGTTACAACCAGAAAATTCTCATTCAAGATCATGATATTGAGAGTTTGTGACGTTAGCTTCTACCGTATCTCGAATTTAGATGAATCTGTACATATTGTCGCATATTTAACTAGCTATACAGTCGTCGGTGTTGTTTATCTCGTACACTTACAAAAAAGACAATCAATAATATTCTTGAAACCTTGTTTGTTTTACATCCACCAATCCGAAATCTTGTGAAAATCAAAAATAGGAGTAATGGNACTGGCCCTGAACTCGAGTGCTAGCTCTTAGAAAAGACGCCTAACCTTCTCGATAGTCACCTTTCTTGCAGGTAGTTCAAG